CTTCGAACCACATGCGTGGTTGCCGAGAGTTCTACTGTTGAACCACCGTCACGATATACTAAGGAATACCGTAGATTGGGCAGTTTATTCAAGGTTCACAGCAATATTCTTCTGACGAGAAAACAAAGTCCGGTCTTTTCTTTAAGCTGAAGAATTCGAGTTTATTATCACTGCATTTCTCTCTTACTGTACTTCCACTAGCTTTTCATGCATTCAGAATGCTTAAGTCGTTCTTCACGCCTTTTATGAAATACTAACTTCCGTTTTCTCTTCACCTGTGAAAATGATCCAAAAGAAGATTTTCTGCGCTATTACGTCTTCCTTTTTGTTTATGATGAAATTTTTCACGCACTTACTGCATGAAAATTACATCACAAGCTTTGTATAAGCCTACTTTTTGCCCAAAATATCAATAAGGATGACTAACAATAACAAAGTGATGTGTAATATAACGATGTCTGTTTTGGTTTTGACGGTCTGATATATTTTGCCATGTGTACATTGATCGATACTTCGTTATAATCCACAATATGCTTGTCTGTTCAATAACTAAATAAACAATATATAACCTTTTTATCACATGACATTACAACCGATCAGAATCCAATGATGGTAAGTAAAACTACTTATCTGTCTGACTGTTTCATGTGTATTAGTCATTTTCATATATACGTTTGCATTGTACACTTTTAGAGACACTTGTTCACACAATTCGTACACTACCTACCATTCCACTGTCACACTAGTGTGACAGTCATTTTCTCCCTTGTTTGGAAAATACAAGTATTATCGTGAACGAGGTGGTCTTTGATTTTCCTCTATTCGCGTCAGGACTATTAACCACTCAGCGGTATAAAACAGAATATTGGCGACGGCGAAATCTCTGGATTCTTCCTAATTGGAATTACTATTTGAACAACAAATGAAATTAGTGGAAATGCTCATCAATCAACAGACTGGTTCAGTTTCACCTTCAAGCAATCCGAATCATACCATGCTACCATCTGTCGACGGAATTGTGTATAGTATTTCACAGTTCAATTATGATCCAGATGCGAATATCACTTTTGACACATGGTATCAACGATATGAGGATTTATTCAGAGTTGATCTCGCCTCACAAGACGATGCTTGGAAGGCGCGAGTGTTATTACGTAAATTGGGTCCCGCAGAATATGAAAGGTACTGCAACCTAATTTTACCCCAGAAACCACGTGACATGTGTTTCGATGATACAATAAAGCTGCTGCGTGAACATTTTGGAGACCACTCCTCATTATTCAGCATACGTTATCGTTGCCTCAAGCTGACAATGAATGAAAATGATGATTTTCTTACTCACGTTGGCACAGTCAACCGAGAATGTGAGAGATTTCGACTCAGGTCCTTAACAGATGATCAATTCAAAGCCTTGATTCTCATATGCAGTTTTCAATCTCCTCGTTTCACAGATATCCGAACTCGACTGCTCAATCAGCTAGAACAAAATCCTAAGTTAACATTACATGACATAGCTGATGAATATCAACGGCTGATTAATTTACAGAAGGACACACACCTGGTCGAATCAACACCTTCGAGAAGCTCTGATATTCATGCATTACGAAAGAGCGAAAATCTCATCATCCAGTCCTGACCCACCTTCTCCTAATGTTCCGCGTAAATCTACACATACTCGTCCAACTTCTCAAATTACTGCAAAGAAGACCCCACCATCACCATGCTGGCATTGTGGCGCGTGGCACTTTGTAAAGTCTTGTCCGTACAAAAATCATCGTTGCAGCAAGTGCAAAATCATCGGCCATAAAAATGGATTTCGCCAGCCACGCAAACCCAGATATCATAATCCAGCGAAAGCTCGCCAAACTGTTGATCCTAAATCCCCAAAAAAGTCAATGAGTCTGGTCGCAACCTGTCAAGTCGCAACACCGGATGTCAATGCAGTTGAAGATTGAACGATCAATTCATTGTTGTTTCCTCAAACCAACTTCCCCAATTTTCGCGGAGGCATCAATACGACAGTCATCGTCTCATCGTTCGCTGTTCAGAAAGAAGTCAGCAGAAAACCACCAGAAGTAATCTTGTGATTTATTATTGTAATATTTGTTCACAGACCCTAGTAAAAACATTATTTTTATATGTTGGTGTAACAATAAAGAATCCTCGAGTAGCCAATCGGTCTTTTGGTTTTTCGTCCGTTATTACTAAGCGTTTCTGAAAAACTGCAAGGAACAGCGTGGGCCCGAGCGTAGCAAGAGCTGGGCATTAACGGTTTATGAGACGTGACTGACACCGGATATGCGGAAATATCTTGACCTTCAGATGAATGGTCATGATACACGTCTGCAGCTAAATACCGCCTCTGATATTACTGTTATATCAGAGAAAATCTGGAATAATATTGGCAGACCACCTATCACAAACACTTCGCAGACTGCTGTCAGCGCCTGTGGTGGGCCTGAAACTAATTTTTTATTACAGCTTGATTCCACACTGTATTTTTGGTACAAGTATGGAATTTTCAGCGTGGATATCGGTAGCCCAAATTTTGCAGGCCGACCATGGATATCATGTGTGCGTTGGCAGGGGATCGAACCTCGGACCATGTGCATGGTCGGTGAGAGTCCTAACCACCGTGCCACCGACGCACACTCCAATGTTTTGTTTCCTTCCACAACATCAGATTCACAGGAGTTTCCTACGTCACCCAGAGTGATTTAAAACTTTTGGGACTTAGCTGGTTCGGCTGTTTGCATCTGGCGGATGTCCTACTTAGTTCTGTATCCAATGCAATCTACAAAGATAAGCATATTATCGGTTTTGTTCAATGATGTTCAAAATGTCAACAATCAGCAAAACTACCCCACCAGCTAACTCGCGTACCTTGTCACCTGCAGCCCATTCTTGGTCCAGAATTCATATTGATTTTGCTGGCCCCACAAACGGTGCATATTATTTAGTGGTGGTAGACGCTTTTCCGCAGTGACCAGAAGTTATACCAATGGTTTCGACGACAACATCCTATACTCTCAAAGCTCTCACTGACATATTCTCCCATCATGGTCTCTCAGAAACCATAGTTACAGACAATGGTTCGCAGTTTACTTCTCATCAGTTTCAGCACTTCTGTCGTCAAAATGCTATCGAGCATATGTTCACACCGCCGTATCATACTCAATCAAACGGCCAAGCTGAACGTTTTTTCGACACTTTGAAGAGAGGTTTACTCAAAACAGAGGGAGATTGGACACCATTTGACATCATTCAAAAATTCTTGATGGTGTACTGTACAAAGGCGAATGGGTCAACACAAAACAAGAAATCGCCGGCAGAAATTATTTACGGATGCAAATCTAGAACGATTCACAATTCAATGTTACCACCGGCACCCAAACGTGCCGAGGCATCAGTTCAGAATGATAAAATTCGATGTTGGTGACGATATCTATGTCCGCGACCATCGAGCAGGACATAAAACTTGGAATAAAGGCTCCATAGCAGCACGACGTAGTCGAGTTATGTACGACGTGAAAGTTGGTAATGATTTATAGACCCATCACTACAGCCAGTTGCGTCAAAGAAACTCAAATATCCCTACCAGTGCACAGTCATCTCTACCTCTGGATATACTCTTAGATACTTTAAACTTACCTACGACCGACAAAACGGAAAGGCAAAATTACGCAGCTCAGAAAACTCCAGACAAAGCAGAAGCCGCAAACTCAACAAGCAGACGAAGCAACAGATGTCGATATCAAACTGAACGGTTCCAGATAAACCCCGAGAAAGAAGGTTACGAATCATCGATTTCCTCAAAAAAAAGAAGTGATATGTAGTCACATGATGTCTGTTGTGGTTTTGACGGTCTGATATATTTTGCCATGTGTACATTGATCGATACTTCGTTATAATCCACAATATGCTTGTCTGTTCAATAACTAAATAAACAATATATAACCTTTTTATCACATGACATTACAACCGATCAGAATCCAATGATGGTAAGTAAAACTACTTATCTGTCTGACTGTTTCATGTGTATTAGTCATTTTCATATATACGTTTGCATTGTACACTTTTAGAGACACTTGTTCACACAATTCGTACACTACCTACCATTCCACTGTCACACTAGTGTGACAGTCATTTTCTCCCTTGTTTGGAAAATACAAGTATTATCGTGAACGAGGTGGTCTTTGATTTTCCTGTATTCGCGTGAGAACCTCTTAGAACTCGACGACTGAATAGCACAGAGATAGTAAACGGGTTAGAAATCGAAGGCCACACTATGGTAACTATGATGAATACTATGTAGAACAGAGTAGCCAAACTTTATGTCTTCGTAAGTATTGCCAACAAAAGTACCATTTAGAAAGCTAAAGACGTGAATTCAACTAAGTAAGTAAGCACATTTCTGATAGGAGGGTTGTGAAATTACCTGATTGTGACGACAGAATGTGAGTTCATCGAGGTTACCCATTAGAGTAAATGTGCAAACAACAATAGCTAACCTACTATAACGGCTATTATCATATCAGCTTAACAAAACAGATGACAAAAAGGCCTCTGATGAAATTTCGACGACTCGTACTTCCTAATGTTGCTAAAATAGACAGTCAAAGCCCATAATTCGAATCATATTGTATAAAGGATGGCTACAGTGAGAACAGTAAGAATAACTAATAGTGCTTAAAGAGAGGATTAGGCAACGTCAGTCCTTAAAATAACCACATCCCACCCCACAGACACCCCAATTTGTGAAGCTACGTCTACAATTATGAAATTTACTGAAACTAATATTGTTGAAATGTCGCCTCAGTATTATTTCCATGAACTTTGTTATCACTTTACTCTACTAAAAATATCATCAATATTAACTCCTAATTTTATTCCCCAAACTTCACAAAGTTTCGAGCAGCACAGAAATGTAAAATATGGGACATTATCTAGGTCTCTGATCAGAATAATTAATCTTTTTCAGTCGAGCAATATTTATAAGATTATTCGGAAGACCACTTTATTCACAAAAATAAACGTGACTGTACAAAAGACAATTGAGAAAAACCTAAACATTATACAAGGTTTAAGACAATGACTTCATCTTCTTCATCCTCCTCATTTGCAGATCTAATTATACCGTCAATTCCAGTGGAAATATCAGTATTAGATTCATTTACAGCCTCTGGGATAAGAGAACCTGCACTAAACATATGCACAGGATCAAATTCGTATAGTTCATTTGCAGATGAGTCAGCAATATCTGTGTCTACATTTCGATTACTACTGCTGGAAACTTCAATCACACCATAAGGTAAAAATTTTGTGGGAGACTGATGCTTATTGTGTACAGCTGTAGCAGATGATTTATCCTCTTCAGAACTAACTACATCCATATCATCATCTGAGTCTAAATTAAAGTCGTTGTCTCTTGGCAAAATTTCTCCTTCTTCTCTGCCTATAGCCGATTCATCATTGGCTTGATTGTTTCCCTCCAACAAAAATGATGAAGTTGACAACACCAACGGAGCATTTAACATGGACTGACTGCTTTCTTTGATCTCACTGGAACGTGCATGAGAAACAGCTAAAATCGCCTCTCGTTGAACAGATAAACCTTCTAAAACCCAGTTTAACAACGGTACAAGACATTTGGCTTTCGTATTAGCTAGACGAATACATCTAGATAAGATAGGCAAAAAGATAACAAAGGGCATTTTGTTAAAGACAGACTGGACACAGCTATACAAGAAACCATATTTTACAATAATACATACCTACCATAAAAATACCTGCACAAACTTCATAAAATAACTGCAAGGGAGGAAGGAGATTGATAAGATAAATTTTTTTCATCGGCCTAAGAAAAAATTTATGATTCATATTCAATTTTATCTGATCATTTGTAGTTAAAAGTTGTAACCGATAATGTGCGTTTCGATCTATTATGGGTGGAGTTAAAATCCTAATGAATAATTTGGCACTCGCTATTGTAAACGTCTTTTAGACTATCAAGTGACAGCAATCACCTCCTGTTGTTATCACTAACATTTCAAAATTTGTTTTACACTTAATAGGACTGATATTTAAAGCGATTAGTGCTGAATTCCTCATTAGGCTGTTTTCCCTTTGGCGTGAATTGAAAATAAAATGCTATCCTGATGTGGCAGTAACGACTACCTATCACACAGACCGGAAGAATAATTCCAGCTGGTGACACGTTTACATCAGGCTCCTACAGAAGATGCACAAGGGTCCACTATTTCACCGTTTAATTAAAGCACAACCTTGAAAAACATGCAAAAACACAATAAACAATAGTAATATGACGAAAATACAGAAGAGCAAAGAGACTAACGACATGATCCACCATGATTTTGATTCATAGTCTGGGATATCTCAAACCGTATCCGAATAAGGATTATGCCCTAACACATTCTAAACGAGCAGTCCTTTAGGTCATGAACCAACAACCCCAAAAACGTTTTCCAAACATCATAGTAAACAAGATGTAGTAAATGGTATGAAAGTGCTGGGACAAAATTTCAACATAAGTTTAAATCACTAAAACAATGTGAGCATGACTGTGCGTCGGTAGCACAGTGGTTAGGACTCTCGCCGACCATGCATATGGTCCGGGGTTCGAGCCCACGCCGCTGCACACCTGATATCTATGGTCGGCCTGTGAAATTTGGCCTACCGATATCCATGCTGAAAATTCCATACTTGTACCAAAAATACAGCGTGGAATCAAGCTGTAAATAAAAAAAGATGAACGCAGAGTTTTATGAAGGTTGCTCTGACGTTCAACTTCTGATTTAAAAAGTTGTCCGCCACAAGTTCACTTCACTGGTACTAACAAACACTATTTGATAAACGAGGATTCACCTTCGACGGCATGTGCAAGAGCCTACCTATCGCATAAAAGTGCTTTGCACTTTAAAGGCGAGAAGTCCACATCATATTTACAAACACTGATTAAATCCAGATTAGACAGTCAATATACCGTCATAAATTAAAGTGTTTCTGTATGCATGCACAAGGTAGAAGATACAGAGAACTATGACACCTATGTAGTTGTCTCCAGAATGTAGTCAGCCATGAAGTTACAGACAATTAATTAATGCAAGACACAAATTTTAGCACTGTGATACATTGTAATTCTACACTAGATAAGTTCACTCGACAGATGACTGGGCGACATTTCGACCATAATTTATTGCCTACAATTATACCATAGTGCCATAGATATTGTGGTGAACAATAAGTTTTTCTCTAGATAACATTCACTCATTAATATTGTGTTATATCAAATAAAATTATAAAATATAGAATTAAAGAGGAACGTTGAGACTAGACAATCCCCGTCTAACCTTAATGTTTTTTTTCGAATATGTCCCAGTTACTTGAGGTGTTTTTGTACAGTCCTTTCAGGATTTTGTTTAATTTCAGCACTCTATACCGGACAATTCCAAAGAACAGTTCTCCTATTAAGGAACCTAAAAACCATTGTCCAAGAACACATACAATGCATTTCAAGTAACCACCGAAGGTTAAACACATGATTGATGCATTAACGGCTATAAAGTTACATAGACTAAGATGGCTAGGTCACGTGCTGCGCATGCCTAACCACCGCCTCCCCCGACGGGCATTACTAGCTGATATAGGTGCAGGTTGGAAAAGAGTAAGTGGTGGCCAAACAAAAACATGGCATCAATCCATGAAATCCTTGACAGTTAAACTGAGTCAGGTAGGGAGATGCAGACTCCCGGGTTGGGGCCCTCGGGACTCTAGGAATCAATGGCTGGAGACAATAGGTGACATGGCTCAAAATCGTTGTCAATGGCCAGCGCAGATGTATTCAGTCTCTGTAATCTTTCATATTCCTTTCTACCATTACCCATTCTGTTTCACTCTTATACTTGTCAGACTGTATTGATTCTCTTCACTCATCTTCTTGTCTACCTCTGTGTGCTATTTGGAAGGTGGCAACTCGGACTGCTGCACTTCGGTGCCAAGTTCTATGTTGAATCCAGACAGACAGACAGACAGATGGTAAACTTCAGTTGTATGTGGTTCAATGATTATAAACCCCGTCTCTCAGTTTTCCAAAAGGAATGTTTTATAATTTTACGCATAAGAGTTATCTACAAAACATTGTTCTCGTTCTCCGTTGGGAGTGATTAATGAGACCCAAGGAGCTACAGGGGGCCTACAGAAGCCAAGTATTTACTAGCGACACTTTCAGACCTACTGTCGCCATTATGCTTGTAAGTGCTCTTAATAACTGTCAACATTTTTGAGGGTATCAGTAACTAGTACTGAGTTAAGTCCGACTCTGCTTCCAGTCGAAATAAAGAGTTTAACTCGTGTACAGTCAGCAGTCTGGATGAAATTTCGGATCTCTATCACTAACTATGCCACCACCCTAATGAAAGTAGTGAATTTAAATCTCACAACTAATTAGTTACTTTTACCGTTATTTGCAAGTGGGTTCGTTTACTGTTGTCACTTTTACTCTTACTTTTATCTATATTGCGCTCAGATGAACATGACTGCTTCAGACTGTAGTCTTTATGTCTTCGATTCATACAAAACGTGTTTTAACAAAGGTGTCTTCAGTCTTCATATTCAGCATAAGTGATGAGATGATGTTTAAACCTCCTACGTGACAGCTGGGTACCTTGATGCAAATCCAACCACAGGAAGCTTACGAAGGACATTGAAACACCCGGTTACTAGTTTTTGCTGCAGAAGAACTAGATGATGAAAAAAATACTGGTAGTCAGGAGAGACTTTAGAGTTAACAAAGATGTGAGGATGTTTGACACAACTCGTTTGCCCATACTAAAAAATGGAAGAGCCAACTGGAAATTCTATCTGGCTTAGTTTTGCACTACTACGGAGCCCAGAAGACGTCTTTGTGAAAGTTGATTACACATGATCTGATCAGGAGTATTGGCTTTTACGTATTTGTGTCTATATTTAGAGAGTCGGCTAGCTAAACACTTAGGCCGAAACAGCGAACAGTCTACGTGACAAACCTCCCTATGCATTCATGCTTTATTTGCACGTAAACCATACTACCACAACTCATTTTTACCCTATCTTGTGACTTTAGTGAAAATATTATTTTCACGTCTGTTTTCTCTATTGCCACTTTCAACTTGATGTCCAAATGTAAAACGTTCCAAATGAGACTGTCACTTAGTAATACAAGATCGTTATTGATCACTTCAGTTTAAACAAGAGTCAATCAAAACCCATACACTAATGAGTGGTCAACTTATACAGATAATATATTCTAAGGAAACAGACAAATATGAAAACTATATGTGGCGAAAAACTCACTTGGAAAGGGATGAACACTTAATAGGTACAGAAAGTCCAGTAGTATACAAACAACATATTTCCGAGAAACTCGTTAAGCCAAGCATTATACGTCCACCATTGAGAATAAATTCTTCACGAGCAGTAGGATCGACTAGAGCTACTTTAGCATCATTACTTAAACCAAGTGTAACTAGTACAGGGATACGACGAACGCCCAAAGGAACTCGTGGTCGGAACTTCGCTTCAAAATCAACTGATACCTAAGGAATATTACATGAAATATATAAAAGGCACAGTAGATTAGAAGTCATGACAACTATAATTATAATGGCCGGTATTCGAAAATCCTATAACGAAAGCTAGGGTGGCATATGCCAATTCATTCTTTTCTTACTTTTTTTATATACTGTTCTATTATTTTTTTCTGTGGTACAGCTCCTGGTGACCAAGTTTGGGCTTTAAACAAATAAATTAACTAAAAATTCAAAACAATCCAACAGCACGTTAGAAACACTGACCTGATGTAATTCTATTAAACTCCTTAGATGTTAATGTGAGATGCATAAACTATGTGCGTTTTTTGCTTATAGTACACACGTAGAGAAGCATCGATGTCCGTACATCAGGAGTATGGAAAGTTTTTGAGAAGATACTGCCCATTGTAATTATTTCTGATGAAACTCAAAATAAGATACCTTCAAATAAACAGAATTAGTCTCAGCATATTCACTGACCAAGATGTCCGAGCAATTCACAGTCTCCTTGTTGTAAACTCATTTTCAGAATATCTCCATTACGACACTGTATCAATTAGGATGGGTAGCAGTTTCATGGTTTCCAATGTACATCCATTCATAGGCAAAAATGTTCACGGACTATAGCGTGATAGGTACTCACACTTGCGTGCCCGTAAGGCATAGAAAATGTCTATGATTAAATAACAAACACTAATATATAGGATTTAGAACTTTCAACAGTTACTACATAGACACGATTTAGGCCTCTAGCAATGTTTACTATGGCTACTGGAGGAGGATAACTAAATAATCAAACGTGGTAGCTTCAATACATATTTCGGAAAAATCCTCCTGAATGGATTATTAGTTCGTCCTTGTCTAGCTACCTTTAGTGTTTTCTAACCTGTACAACATAAGCCCAGCTAATGGTTATCGACAAACCACCTGTCCATAATCTGCAGTTTAATTGCGACTTCAAGATTAATTACCATACAGGGCCACACAAACCGATGTGTATAAAATTTATTTGCTTTTTGATAAGTAACCGTAGAAAGAAAGGTAGACTCAATAATAACCGACAGCATCAAATAAAAGTACATAGATTGAAGGTAAAGTGCGTTTCCATGCAGAAAGAGAATGTTGGGAGGACTGAGGCTCAAAACACATAAAAAACAAGCCAGTGAGCGACGAATTCATAGCATTTATGCTGTCTACAAGGAATGGATGCCTAACTGTCTCAACTATGCAACATCATCACTAAAATGGGGACTCATATACTGTTGGATATCTTGATTATTACTTTGAAAACCTTTTTACATGATAAGATGTATATATATATATATATATATATATATATATGCCTCATCATAATGCTTTTTCAGATTATGGTAGAATTACGGCAGGAGATTACTAATTACTGCTCTTGCGACAACTATGATCATGATTTGCTGACATGCAATTTTTAGCCCAATAAATTAGTTATGTGAAACCTTCCCTCTTATGTGGTTAGATTTCACGGGAGAATACACAGTCTGGAAGCAGACTGTATGCTAAGTAACTTGATGCGACAGCATTCTTAGTACAGAAAACACCACCAATCCAAATTTCTCGGTTATAGGGGCAAACTTTACTCAACTAGTTCAGTCCAGGAAGACAGATAAAGTTTTCCTGCCTTTTATTGATGCGTTACTTGTATCAGCGAACATTAGTCCATATCTACGTCTTTTATAAACGAATGATCTGAAGTAAAAAGTGTCAGACATTCGACTTTAACTTACTTTGCCCATATCATCAACAAATACATCTGGTCGGCGGAAAGCAGCCAATGCAGCGACTGCGGCTAATGCACCACAATCTCCTAAATTCCCATCGTACGACAAGGCGCGCAATTCAACTCGTATGGCGAAAACGCGTTCCCATGCGACAATACAGAGGGAGTCTAAGTCAATACAATCTCGAAGAAGTGTCTGCAGAACGGCTGATAATCGACGTCCTTCATCATCACGCTTTTGTTTGTGATACACAGCTATCGGAAAAAAAAATTATGAATTAATACATACACAGCATTGTAGGGTTTTACATCGAGGATTTATTCATTTTAGAGTAATTAACATTTTTAAAACCAAGTTGCTATTATGTGGTGATCGTAAGTGACCTTTGAGAACCAAAAGTCAACGTCGTATAGGAAAAACGATACTTCTTACATAACGATTTCTTAAAGATATGTCCTTAGCAAACTATCAACCTAAAAGTAAAATTATTGTCCGTTTAATTCTCTTTAATCAATAATGTCATAAAAGATAATATAGAATAATCTGATAACGATATCTGTACAGAACCTGACCTCCTCTAAACTGTTGCCTCTATTTAGCTACCATGTCGCAACTGTGGAGTATGATTCTCTCTGTCTGTTTGAGTATAATTGATTATACTATCGTCAATTACACTTGTCAATTGATGGAAATAAATAGTGCAAGTAAACAATTACTGTGAGAGAAATACACTTGTCAAGGAATATCTAGTGTCAGTGATCAAAACCCTGCCTTACTAACAGTCGTGAGGTGGAGAAACTCGGGTGGATTTATTGCATACCTTCGCTAACTGTAGCGTGGTAGTCCGTTGCTACGGTGGTTTAATGGAAAGTTATATATTACGTATGCTTTTTAAATAAAATTCTGCATCAAAGGTGGTGCCACTTAAAAGCAGGATATATAATATAACCGCCCGAGAGACTGGTTACCCGAGGATGAACTTATACTATCTGATGAAGATGAGAAGATATCAGAATGTGTACAAAAATACAATTTTTGTAAAGCAAGAGTAATAAACATTGTGAAATTAAAGGAATTCAATCGCATTGTGTGTACCGCAAATCTCCTACAAATGCCTAAGCCAATAGTTCACCAAGAAAGATGATAATATCCCAGCCACAGTTTGCTGTGAATATCCAATACGTCATCGACTGATTTACATTATACATCTAACACCGCACCTATTTTCAACATTATCTACCCTAAGAAACGGTAAAACGATACACATGGCTGAAAAACTTTCAATGACAACGCTTTACAAAAGTAGAGCGGAGAAGAGATAAATGTTGCCCGGTGAGTATGCCCTAAGACAATCAGAGAGATTTTCTATTGCTAAAATAGATACATGATTTAGGAGGTAACAGACGAAGCTTGATATTTATGCTGAGACTTCGTCATTAACTATTTCATTAAAGTAGATGCAACCTGTTAAACAGATGACATGAGCAACATATCAGATCACTTTACCCTCCATAAACTGAAATTCAGTGCAATCTTACATTCTAGAGGAGAAAAGCATATGCGGACATCCAATTGCTTTCTCTGAGATAGGAGCATGAGTACAATAGGAAATCTAAGTTACTTATAAAAATGTTTCAGTTATGTTTGACGTGTACAGATAAGTACACCATCTGTTCCATTATGGGTAAATTTTGTTTTGATAAAGTCTCACATATCATAATCATATCAATGATATGATTATGAGCAATAAATTGTGCTCGAAACGTCATCAGTAAACATTAATGTATAACACTGTGAGACTTTATCAAAACAAAATTTACCCATAATGGAATTACACTCTACCACAGTGCACAAGTTTTATTCTTACATCAATTAAACACCGTCTATTATTTTCTTCCTGAGTCGTAAACATGACCTGATCATAAACCCTAATAAGAGAAAAAGTGGACCTTCTAATTTCCAACTTCTGAAGCATTCTGCAACAATTTTTTGGTGGAAATGAGCATTTCTAAACCAATATTTAGAAACTTTAAAAGTAAATAATATACGACTCTCGCATTTTTAACTGCTAACATTAAAGACAATTCACGCATGATTTGATCTCAGCCTAACAGTCACAGTAAATTGTAACACGGAGAGAGCAAGATAGACTATATTTTTTAAGGAAGTGTTTTTCTCCACTAAATAACTGATACTGTGTAGGAAGAAATACTGAAATAACACCGAAAACTCACTTCTACACAACTTTAAAATACTGGCATCAAAGTGCACGAACAACATTCCTTGAGATGGTCGGAAATGTTTCGGTTCGATAACTTCTGCTGAAACTTGCGCCATGACCGACGTAGCACCTATTTTGACAACACAACAGCCAGAGACTTCGCGATCCTTCCCTTGAGGGAAACGAAAACTAATTTCACGGTATTCGCTGAGTGATCTACCATCCAAACGGTAATTATTTACAAGCATCTCTGTCAGTGTATCAAATTCTCGTGTGGGCAACATGATTCTAAAAACACAGCTATTATAATTTTAAAAATATATATAAACAGTTCGTATAAGATGAGAAACAAACTATAACATGTACACAGGCGTGTACTTATTTAAAAAAGTTTATTAGTCTCGCTTGGAACACCTTGCAAAGTACATAATGATGATAGGTAAGGGAGGATAGGAAACGATTAAAGGAATAATGGAATTTAGGATTTCCAAGAAGCGATTTCTTATCTATTAGTTCCCATTTATCCCAGAAACCTCGGCTTACATTTCAGGACAGACCACGAATCACAGGGTTTATACACTAATCTTGCTTTAGGCAACAATGTTTGTTAAAGAAAGTGGCAGAGCCGGATGACAACATAAATGGCTTGTTAATCGGTCAAGGGGGACACCACATCACTGTTGCTGCTCTATCCTTCGAAAACACTTTTCTCTCTAACTCCTATCCTACAGTAAGCAACCTCCTCTATGATGAGGCTTTTGGTATAACCACTATTCGACCTTTCGGGAAGCAGCTAACAGTCATAATTGTTCAGATTCCAAAACCCTTCACTGACCTATATCCCATAAGCCTATGTATATTTCAACTTTATTACATCGTTTTTACTTTGTGTTTTTGCGGTATGGCAACTTTAACTGATACACTATTTATGCGTCGATTCAGGTTGAAAACGAGTGTGAAAAGTGACAGTTGGACATGCATAATGTGTGTTTTAACCGACTCGGATAATGGCAACCTACTATCATTGCCAGAAACACCTTTATCTGGACTTCTATGTCTAGTATAAACAAGCCTTAATTTATAACTCCATTACAGAGGAATGAGCTGCAGTTCCGTTTCCTCCTAATTCAACGAGCACGCCTCATGGGTGTACAGCTGAGTACCTTTACTTATTTGGTGCCCTGATGCTTTAGCGCGCATAGGTATGTTTACATAAAATTCATCCTGCCATACAATATTTTTTTGAGCCAGTCTTTGTCATTTATCAGTTAACGAAGAATTGAGAGTTCTGAACAAGCAAACTAATTAGCCACTATTTTGATTTTTAAACTAACTTCGATTGAATGCTTCCCGATGATATCTCCAATCATCATGTCATATGATCTAGTCGAAAATAATGATATGTAACATCCCTCATCCTACGACACTACGTAATAAGCTCAGTATTTGGGATTCCTCAGCCTGCTGCAGGGACGAAAAACAACGGACGATATAGAATGCATTTTGCGACTGAAGTCAGTCCCAATAAAATAAGACTGCTGACAAAAAACTCTTAATTTATACGTAAGCAAGTCACCATATAATAGAATTATTTACTTCGTCTCGTATCAAATTCGAAGAAACAATGACGTCCAACAATTCATGGCAGCTAGCTATTCTTCACACGTGTACAACAAGTTCACGAAAGTCGATCAGGATTTCACCTTCTAAACCAAACTTACAATGAACCGAACATCGTGGCACTGACAGAGATGAGCACAATGGGCATATGCTTATTTGTCGTTTGATGCAGGACTACAAATATCGTTTGTCACACGACGTGAAAGCCTCACGAATGAAAATTAGCAATTTAGCCTAACTACTGTCTTGTCACATTATACGAAGGAGCAATAATACCAGTAAATTTTAAATCCTCGGTTACATTCAAAAGAAATAGGCTTTAATATGTTCCAGCCAGATGACGACAAGTTGAAGTATTTTCTGTATTATTCAGTGGCACTTCACAAATACCTTACAGTTATGTTATAATCACTCTTAACAACATTTTTCTACTCTCTCAAGGAGCATTCATACTCCTCGCTACTGCTACAGAAACTACCTTGCCACGGTTTGGTGGTAAACACTTAAGCTTTGTAATAATTTTTATATTTTTGTTTTCCTTTCACCGTGCTATGTCAAGAGAACATTAGATTTCATACTGTAAAATATGAATAGACAGTACTGTTTGAAACAAACCCACTGTTAATATTATTATTTACACACTTAGCATTATTCCTACCGAAAATGTGGACAAATCCCTACGGTTACCTTTATTTATATTTTGGGTAAACTATAGGCACGGTTGTAACAAAATGTTGAGAATTCCATTCTGTATTAGAAGTACTTATGCGTACTTTATGCGTAAGAACCCATGCCAATGGTTCTGGTACATATGCCCGAGTTGCCGTCCTGATGTAGCCTCGAGCAGTCCTCTGAAAACTAAAGTTGGCGCAAACGTAGCAGGGAAAAATGTGAAATGTTCGACCCCCACCAATCCGGAAATTAGTACAAACGCACGTAAACCGGGGATACCAAAATCCTCACCGGTTAAACTTGTAACTCTTGACATAACCGCTCCAGACACAGAGGCTGGAGCACCACGGGTTTCCGTCGTTGGAAAAAGACCCCTATCGTCTGCCAGTAATACTGGACATAGCACTGAGACACACAAAAATACCCAGTCGCACCAGACGAAATAAAACGGTCTTAAAGGGGGTTACAAATGTGCGAGGACCAAACCCAAGCCGACGGTTAGTAGATCAAATTGTGTAATCCTCTTTAATGTACCAGAGTGTAGTAGTAGTCTGCTGAAAGATAGGGCCTTATTTGATCAGGAACAGTGGTCCATCTTGTGTAGCACACTGGGTTTGGACATCCAACCAGTAAATCTATGCAGATTGTATAGGGGCACTGCTGCACCTGAAGGTAAACCACCCCCACTGAGGGTAACATTGGGCTCTACCGAGGACGTTGAATAAGTGTTACTGGCTTCTCAAGTCCTTTCTATAGGGAGGGCCTGTAACGTACGTGTTAAGCCATACAGGCCGTGGAAGGAAAGACAAATGGCGAGGGAGTCTCCAGAGCTTATTCCTTCTGCCTCCATGGTTGTGCATGGCATTCCCGAACTGGTAACTGGGAACGCCTGCGAAAAGCATTGTCATGATGTACAGCAATGGAGATGGTTGGCATCCCAGATGACCCTGGGGAGTTCAGGGGCTGTCTCTATTTATAGACTGTCTCGACCCACTCATCTTATGTCAATTAACACGCCACGTCTGTTAGCTGTCAAGTTCAGCTCCCAAGACCAGTTGACTACCGCCCTCCATAGATGGTACGAGACCAAGGACAAGGTCAGCAAACACATTCGCTGCTGCGAGAGCCGGCCTCGCACCCAAAGGAGAGGACAAAGCGTAGTTAAAAAAATCCTCAACCCCTAGTCACACTACAGCGGTGCAGCACGGACGATGATAGCCAGTGTGATCCGAGTGCTCCGACTGAATTAGAAGAAAAAAACGCCACCAGGCCGGTTCCTGGGGAATCGGCCAACTAGTTCGTAGGATAACTTCTCAACCGATAGCCAATATCAAGTCAACTACCCCCCCCAATACGGGGAAGTGGTGAGACTGACTACCAGTTGCCTGTACAGTTAAGTGAGAGGGCTAAGAGGCAAAATATCTGAACTTAGGCACCTACAATCACAACTTAACTCCAAAATCATAATACTGACGGAAACCTGGCTAACCCCTACGGTGGCACACAGCGAAGTCAGTATAAATGATATGGTCCTAGTCAGGCGAGATAGGGACCTGAAAGAAGGAGGTGGAGTCGCCATATGCGTTGACAAACAGCTCAGATGTGTTCACGCGATGGACCCTCCCCTCACTGAGCTCCCTGACTCCATATGGTGCCACTTCACCGTTGGGTACTGCAAATGTCTAGTGGGCAGCACTTATCAATCACCTTCATGTGGAGCAGACCACAACCAGGTACTGCTAAATACAATCTCAGCAACTCAAGACATGGGTTATGATCAAATTGTCATAGCTGGTGACTTCAATGCTTACTTACTTACTTTACTTCGGCTATCTCCTACGGGAGGATGAACCGGCTTCATGAACATCTCGAATGTTTGTAAGAGAGTTGATGAAGTTTCATGGGAATTGGGTACGAGTGATGTCCCCAGCATCGCTCGGCCTTTTGTTTGAGAGTGCAGCTCTAGCCTTTACACAGCCAAGTGTGACCTACAAGGCAGTAGGAGTGGAGTAGGGAGTCCACTATCCATTGGCAGCCGGTGACCGGAGTCCGGTTCATACGCCTTTTTGAATGGGGCCAGACATCCAGGGCATCCAATAAGCCCTTTGTCCATACGTCTGCCGGTGAGCTTCATACGCCAGTCGTTGAAGGTTTGGAATCAGGGTTTAGCCATCTCCCCTAGACTGTCATCCAATGGACAGTCAGCCCGGTGAAGAGCGCCGGGCATCCGCTTTTGCCCTCTCACTTCGGTGAAATAAACACTTCTGCCACGTGAAGGCAGTGAGTAGGACTTCCTCAGGAGAGGCTATGTAAGACGCACGGTCATATGGGAGCATTTCAAGAGGTGTACGGAGGGGTGGCTAACCCGCAGCGCGAGACACCCACCCCCGACCATCCTGAGGCTTTGGAGGCTTGACTTCAATGCCCCATCTCTTAACTTGGTGTCGGGAAAAGCCCATGATAGATTTGATCGAAATCTGCTGCATACCATCAGGAAGGCTGGATTCACTGAAAATGTCAAGATGGATACTAGATGGGGCCCTGATGGGAAGTCTTCTAGACTGGATTACGTGCTCACTAGTGACCAGCTACTAGTGGAAAACGTTCAGATCACGACTCCCATAGGTAGTAGTGACCACGCGGTCATAGTATTCGACATAGTCCTCCGCGAGCGCTTACAGTGGGACAATACACAGCCCTATCTGTGTTATAACAAAGCCAACTACACCAAAATGCGAAGACTTCTGTCTGAAGCAAATTGGCCTAAAAAATGGACAGAGCTAACAGTAGAAGAACACTGGAGAGTGGTAAAGGAGATCATTCACCAGGCGGTCTCAGACACTGTTCCTTTAGTCACACCAAAAGCTAGGAAGCAACGATCATGGCTAAAAGGGGGACACAACGCCTTCTGCAGGCGAAGCGAAAAGCCTGGTTTGCGTGGCGACGATCGAAGAGTCAACCCGAACATGAAGTGTACCTTGAACTCAGGAATCGATGTAACATACGAGTCCGGAGCGATAGAAGGACATTTCAGGGAAACCTCGCCAATAAGCTTCTCGTGAACCCCAAAAGCCTATACAGGTTTATGTCTGAAAGAAAACCGACCAACCAGGGAGCATGCAATCTAGTGGGTTCTGATGGGAAATCTCTTACTAGTCTTGAAATGGCAGAGACATTCAGCCTAGCCTTTCACAGGCAACTAAACAGTAACGAGGATATTACCCCACAGAACATCCAGATTACATCGCAAAACCAACACGCGAAAACCTGCTGGGTACATTTCAAATTACCCCGGCTATGGTACTTGCAAAATTGGGAAGGTTGGCTTCGGGAAAGTCTTCAGGTTGTGATGACATCAGACCATCTGTCCTGAAGCAGTGTTCAGAAAGTCTCTGCCAACCCCTAAGTGATCTGTTCCAACACTCCCTTGATGTAGGGAAACTTCCATGTGAATGGAAACGAGCAATCCTATCCCCTATCTTCAAGGGTGGTGACCGGCAGAATGTGACCAGTTACAGACCAGTTGCTCTACTTCCAGTGATATCGAAGATATTGGAAAGTCTCATTGACGACCACATGAGAAAATACTTCGATGGGACTAACCTTCTTCACGAAGCACAGCACGGTTTCAGGAGGGGAAGATCCTGCGTGACGAATCTTCTACTAGCTTGGAACGATTGGACACTATCCTGGGACAAAAAGGTACCAGCCCACGTGATCTTTCTCGACTTTGCGAAAGCATTCGACACAGTTCACCATGGTCTGCTCCTTCACAAAATAGGCAAGGCGGGTGTTTCTGGAGCACTTCTCGCATGGCTGAAAGATTACTTAGGCGAGAGAGAATTCTGCACCAAAGTCAACCGCATCCGATCATCCTGGCACACCTCGGCATCAGGGGTTCCTCAGGGTTCTATCCTAGGGCCGTTGATGTTTTTGATTTTTATCAACGACCTGCCCTCCCAACTAAACTGCTCTGCGCTTCTTTACGCTGACGACGTAAAGATTTGGAGAGCAATAAACTCATCGGAAGACTCAGATAGATTGCAGGCTGACCTGCAAACTCTGGGAAACTGGGCTCTGGCTAACGGAATGCCTTTCAACCTAAAGAAGTGCAAAGTAGTGCAACTTCATTCCGGCAGGTCACAGAGTGTAAATTACACCCTTGGTGGCCAGAACTTGAGTTGTGTTCCATCAGAGCGTGATCTAGGTCTTATTCTAACAGAAAAGCTAGACACCAGTGGAAATTACTCGAGGGACGTCGCCAAAGCCTACGCAACTTTACACTTTATGCATAGGCAGCTGGGAGCTCTCACTCCCGAACTGTTCTTAAGGTTACATAAGGCATATGTGAGGCCACACCTTGAGGTGCATAATATCATTGCACCTCCGCTACTCAAAAGGGATGCTAACATTCTAGAAAGTGTCCAGAGACGAGCGACAAAATGGGTGATCGGCCTCCGCAACAAATCATATGAGGAAAGACTAAAGAAATTAGGTCTTTTCACACTTAGTTACCGTAGGCACAGGGGAGACCTCATCACCGTCTACCAGATCCTAAATGACCAGGCCCACCCAAATAAAAGCATCCTGCCATTAAGTGATTATAGGCTTCCACGAGGTAACCCGCTAAGGATAGCACACCAGAGACCAAAGACTCGAGTGCGATCACATTTCTTTTCGCTTCGTGTTTGCCGTCTCTGGAACGCTTTACCGGCGGCCGTGACTACAGCGCCATCTCTGGAGATTTTTAAGCGGAAGCTAGACAATCATGCAGAAATGCAAGGTTTGTGTCTCAATGGCTTATCCTCATAAAACTTAAAACCACACTGTCAATGGATAAGCGTACAAACTAAATCCCCACGACCTATTCTGCCTTCTCTCACTCTATCTTTTCCTTAGGTCACCTTTATTATTCCACTTATCTCAACCTATATTATCTACACTACAACCTATTATTATTATTATTCTGCTTTTATGACTACACCGAATGACCAACGGGAGTTAGGTCAAACTCCATTCACGGCAGCAATACAGTCCTAACATACTGCATACTACAAACCACATCTCGACCAATCCCCGCACCACTCCTCTTGGAGTCTACCAGAGCTAAAGCAGTCGAGTGGCGGGACTTACTACGCAGAAGCTCACCGAAGATCTGGAACCTCTACCTCACAATCAAGAAGCGAGCTCAAAGAAATCACTGGTTTATACTAGCTCGTAATCAGGATATTGGATACTGTGTTTGGAATAAGGCATATTATTATATGTAAAACGAACTGTTCGGAACAGTACATTTCCACAGTAACAAAGTCTAATTTCACGGGGTTTAAACTTATATCCAGTTAAAAAACCCCTCTCTTTGCATCTGTGCTGACAGTTATGTTCTCTGGACTATAATTCTAATCTTTGGGTGTCGAGCCGACTTACTTCCCTCCTAATTTAACCAGAAATATCTGGTATTATTAATGTGCCGAAACTCGCACACTTAGAAGTTTCTAAATAAAAAGAATTATTTTTATTTTATTATTATTGGTAACAGCTTGATTCCACACTGTAGAATAAATGCAGAGAAAAGTATCACTTGCATAGTTTAGTACTGCAATAATTAGCACATTTCAACGTGCTATAGGCCTTACTTCGTATATATATATATATATATATATATATATATATATATATATATATCGAAGTAAGGCCTACTATCAAACGGTCCCCGTGAGACCTAAATCAATGAACTAATATATAGTAGTCAAATTGCTCAACAAAACACGGGGAAATAAAGCAAATCACAAGACACACTTGTATCATATCACTTGAACATAAAATATACTAAAAGAAAAAATACAATCACACAGAGCTGAATATACACTGGACACACATGACCCACTCACAAAGAATACAGAAAGTGCTCTTAAGAACTGACGACGAACGCACAATGAAGTGGAACGATTCCAGGGCCCCAATGAGAAAAGATTGCTGAGACTTGGCCTTAATGTATTGTTGTAGCGTTCACTACAAATGCTGCGCTAACTAAATATTGGTAAGGCCGAACTTATCAAAACTGTTGAAATTTCTCTTGCTAAATATTTTTTTGAATAATTTTCAATAAAATTGTGTCATGTGTCTTCTGGCCTGACGGGAACTCTCATTTTCCGACATGTCACGTTAGTGCTCACCTAATGTGGTCTCACTGTGGCACACTCTTAACATATCTGTCACAATTATTTGTGTTTCAGGCGAATTGTATCGAAAGACTGATATAATTACCAGGAGGTGACAGTTGGAGGGTAGCAGGTAACGTCATCACCACAAATAGTCCAGCTTATATAGAAGCTGCTGTTTTTGGCATAATATCACTCAATGAAGACCTCACGTTTCAGCAAATCATTAAAGCCTATTTTCGTTTATGGCGCAGTAACATTTGAGAAGTGGATACTATCAGTGCATGGAAATAACTTGCAGAGGCTAACACAAGCCTCTATGAGAATAGATGTCGTGACGTACATGATATTTTCACCGCATGAATTATCGTTCGAAGGTTGTCTTTAAGTGGATTTCACATATAATTGCACTGAATGGTGCAGCCGAAATTCGATTATGTGGATTCACTGTATAAGAAGTATTTCAACCTTATTAGTGCTCCATTGCCTGCTTCGCTGGCTGCTAGGGTAACAGATGAAGGTGGTTGTCACGATTCCTGTAAGCGCATTGAAGAAAGTAAGTACTCGTTTAGTTTCGATCAAGGTAACACTAAACGCAACAATTTTGTGCATGGTATTTTTACGCACATGGGTTGTGTACGTTATTGGGACTTAATCTAGAAGGTTCTATTTCTGTCGACCTACTGTTTCTTATACTATTACCACTGACACTTCATACCTAATGTCTATGCTCCAATGTTTTTGATCACCGATAATGGAGATGAATTTGCTCTGAGGTTTCCGTTTACATAGATATTTTACACAGATATTTTATCGCAATCGAGTGTTTGGGCTGCATTATGTGACATCCCTATCCTCATCAATACGATACGACATTGTATCTTATGATATTTTAAGTACTTGTCTACACTTTTGAGAGTTGATCCTTGTGTACCCCATATCTGATGACTACAGTTTACCAAATACGCTAATGTAATTTTTGTAGGTTTCACAAAACCATGTCTACTAGACATTGGTGAGATTCTGGATTAATTTCTAGAATACACTTTAGAAATACTTCATTTAAAGTAAACGTAATTAGTGTGCAGTTGCCGTGCAAGTAATCTTGGTGAGAATAGTTTTTAACAGTATGGGTGTTTCAGAGATTGTCTTAAAATTTGCATATCATCCTCTAATACTAGAAAACACACCAGGTCTGTTTATGCATATTGCGTCAATACAAATATCAGCTATGGAATGACATGTAAAATTATTTTTTATAACTTCATGTAGTGCTAGTCCTTACATGTGGTTTATTTTTTCCACGGAGATGGAGGTTGTTGAATATGAAATCAGAAAACATATCACTAACGATAATAGCCTTCATCTGAATTTTCTTCTGCAAATTAATCAAGTGTTTAATAGACACTTAGTCACCAGTTCTTCCGTACTTCCTCAGTGCGTTATATTAATATTATCTATTGCAATATGTGGAGTTGGATTAATGCATATTAAGTTTAGTGATCAGCGTGAAGACTTACTAGAGAATTGATCATTCGTTGAATCTAGTGTCTTTTTCTAGAAAATATCTCATTTCATAAACTAACCAGGATTTATCAAGATGAAGGATGATGTTGTGCTGTTCGATAGCTTTCATCCACTTCATTTAGCCAGTTGCGCGTCTGTATACTGCTGAAGGGCCAGTCTGTAGTACGAGTATATATGGTAGCTTGGAATCAATAGCTACTTCATTCATCTGCTGATATGAAGTGGCGTCGTCAAACAGACTTTCTGCTTGATTATGAGCTAAGAAACAATTTTTAATTTATTACAAATATGTCCTTGAACTTAGCGGCAATAACTGGTATCCATCATCTTTGTGATCAATAACTGCAGCGCTTGTATAACTATTCTATGAACATTAAATTTCTTACAGTTTAATGCATCTAATAAGAACTGACAAATTTTAGTGACGCCGCTTTATCCTTCTTGGCGTGTTTTTCTTATTTTAATCATGATAGTAGCGTGTTCTGCAGGACTTACCACAGAGCGTATCAGTCCTATATCTGCACCATATGTAGGCACAATATTTTTGAGCTAGATATGGTAATCAAAGTAAACGCTTGTACTGAACATCCATTGTTTGTAAGACAACGCAGTAAAATATGTAAGCACTACGATGTGACCACTTATAAAAAGTTTAATATAATAAAAACAATATATTCTCACTTTGTACATGAGGGACGCCAGTTTACACGCATCATCAATATGATAAATTACATATATGATTCGTAATAATACTTAATATTAATGATTTAATAAAATAAATGTTTTTCCTACCTGTGTAAGACACACCAATTGTACAGGCATGGATAAGTATTATTTAAATTTCATAAATTTGGTTTATGGTTAAATTACATGGTTGCTGACGTTTTAATCTTTCGTTTGTGAGAACAATATGATAACTAGTCATTCGATGGAGCACATCAAGAAATAAAGGAATATTGTCTTCGCATTAACAAATAAACCCAAGTATGTTTCGGATGAATTACAAATACAAAAAATAAAGCTTGAAGTAATTCCTCAACATAACTTAGGTGTGTACAAAACCGAAACTTCTTCTCGATTTAAATCCAAAATTCGTAATAATTAAAATAAGTGATACCTTTTTATAGTTTTGCCAGAATTTTCATCGTAGCATCACGAGTGCATTGTACTCAATGTGGAATAATTTCAATGATAGAACATATTTCCTTATAAATGGCTGTTTTCCAGAAATTAAAGCTATTTTTACAGATACTGTCAGTTATGTTATAAGTTACAATCGTGACGTTGTATTATAAATTAATACTTTTCCATTGATATAAGAGTATATTACACAAATGTAATCCAGGCTGCGTAGTGGGGGAAGGTAAGGCGCAATTCACGAAGGAATTGTAAGATATGGAACCAATGATGCTTACAGATCATTTGTCATTGTAAATGGTCAAACATCCACATACTTCAATCTCATTCAAAAAGTCCAATGGAAGCTTAAGTGGTGAGACAAAAAGAAGACAAACAACAGCAAAGCAAAAGAAAGCAACGGGAGTCCTTAAGGAGTGATTAATAAATATATACATATATATTCTGTTTTGTAACTATGCTTATTTTTGTTCATTAACTAACTATTCCCGTTATGCTAACTTTTATATTATGTGTGAACTAATATTACTGTCCTGTGTAGAAATGTTTATCATCTAGTTCCAATAATATTAAAATTTATCATTGTAGTTTGTTGTAACTACACGTTTAATGAACTTAAAATATCTATGTAGGGTGAAAAAGAGGGTGTAAGAGTCAAACGTAGAAGTGCATTGTCATCTTTGAGCAGTCTGGTGACTGAGGAGATGAACACCGGAAGTGTGTTTGTATCGCGCACATTAGCTGGTAGTCTATTCCAAATGACTGAAAACTCATTTAAGAAAATGTTGTACCGCGTGTAAGTCTGACAGTGCTCTATAGCAGCTAGGTTGTGATGATTTCTAAGATTGTAACTGGCGACAGTGGTAGGTTTAGTTATTGGCTCGGAGGAGTGCAAAAGAAGATTAGTTAACTTGTGGTAAAAGATAAGGTTTAGCTTAAGACGTGTTTCCCAGAGTGGTTCTGATCTCAGTCTGTCGCGTTGCTCATAGTATTCCAGACCACTTTCTAAACCAAGAGTTCTTGAGGTAAACTGCCGTTGCACTCCCTCTAATTTAAGTTTGTCATTTTGTCTAAGTCCGCTAAGAATAAACGGGCAGTATTCTAAGATAGGTCGGACACATACTTTGTATAATAAAACCCTAGTTTCACAACAAAAGAAATTGCGTGTTATGCATCCTAGCAGCTTTCGCGTTTTACGTCTGGCATAATCAGTCTGTTCAGCGAACGTTAGGTTACTGGAGTATCTAATACCGAGATCTACGACTGAGTTGATTTTGGCTAGTTTTCCCCCATTTATTTCAAGAGCTAGATCAAGGCTACTGTTGCCGGTACAAATCCAGCCGCATTTCTCAATGTTAAAATCTGGACAGGGTTCAGCACACCATGTTGGGCAACTACTTAGTTCAAGATGTATTTTATTTAACATATGGCTTAACTCACGTGTGTAGCAGGAGTAGACGACTTTGAGGTCATCAGCATATAGGAATGGTTTACCTGAGGTGAAGCGCTTGCAAATGCCGTTAATGTAGACTGTGAATAAAAGTGGACCTAGGATACTACCTTGCACAACCCCACTTGAGATCTACCTAGGATGAGACAATACAGATCCAACTTTGGTTATTTGTACCCTGTTGCTTAGAAATGATTTTAACCAGTTCAGTAATGGGTTGTGAATTCCACAAGAGTACAGCTTCTCAAAGAGAATACTGTGAGATACCATGTCAAATGCTCTAGATATACCAAAGTAGAGAACAACGACTAGCTTACGTGCTTCGCGACTACTAGTGATGCACTTGGAAAAGTCGAAGTGGCAAGTAACGCAGGATCTATTTTTGAGAAATCCGTGTTGAGACCTTGTAACAAGATCTTCCCTAAGTAGGTAGTCTGACAATTGATCTTTTACAACTTTCTCCATGATTCGTGAGATAACTGGGGTTATATTTATGGGTCTGTAATTGCGGACGTTTGCCCTATCACCAGATTTGTAATGTGGAATTATGAAGCTAGTTTTCCACTCACTAGGGTAAGTGCCAGTGTCCATAGATATTGGGAAGAATTTAAGAAGTAACAGGGGTATATCACACCCGCTGCCTTTGAAAATTATGGAAGCGAGGCCATCCGGTCCCGTACTAGTGGAAGGTTTAAGGCTTTTAATTGCTTGTACTATTAACTGCTTAGTGAACACAATGCTTTCAAGGGAAGAGCTAGTAACGGGGGCTGTTTCACCAGGCATATATGTTTCTAAACTAAAGTTTGCAAACCAATCACTGAAAAGTTCAGAGATAGTGGCAGGCTCATTGTAGATTACTTTGTCGTGAAGTAAGTAGGGGATTTCCCTCGCCGACTGCATTCGTCTTTTAAGAAGTGCCGTTAACTCTTCATCGAGGTCCTTTTGAGAGCATAGGCGCTTGATAGATTCAAGAGACTCGTGGATTGAGAGCAGTAGTGATATATCCTTAGTGGAATAGTACTGTTTCTTCAGCTTCCTTAACTTATTGCGGTGTGCCCTTGGAATATACTCAGCTCGGTGTCTACTTAATTTCACTATTTTCTTTGGAGCAACTGTATCTAGACAAAGGGTAACATTCCTGTAAAACAGGGTTACTACGGCCTCCAGGGAGTCAGTGGTAAAATAGTCATCCCATTGACAGAGACTAATCCCCAATCTGTATATTGTTAACTACGACATATCATGCTTTCTGAATCTTGTTTGTTTCCTGTATTTAATGATGAGAAAGGCAGAGAGCAGAGTACCATTCTATGGTCACTACTGGAAAATCGATTACCAACATACGTGGATACTGAGATTGTGTCATGACAAAAAACGAGGTCCAACATATTGTCATTACGAGTTGGTGTCTGGACGTGTTGTTGACATCCATAACAGTCGATAGTGGCAAGTAATTCGTCGAAGCGTTGGGGACTGGAACTAGTTAGCCAATTAACTTCTGGAAGATTGAAGTCCCCTGCAATTATAGGATGTATGCGATTTGATACATCGGGGAGGGCATTGTGCCAGAGTGACATGAAGCAACCGACACCTTGTGGACCAGATCACTGTTGGCACTGTCTGCTGAGAGCGTAGATTTCATTCGCCGGGGAGAGCGTGTCGGTGTGATGTGGTATGTTTGTTGTGTGTTGCGCTTTTTGTCTTGCATTTCCATTTTAGCCTAGTCCCGGTTGGCCCAAGTCCCGCATTGGCAGCTCAGTTCGAGATTATCATCGCTATGGAAGAGAGGGATGGACCTTATTTTGCCGAGGAGTATCAATGAACATGAACATTGAACGTTTGGTTTTGGAACCGGTAGCCATTGGTTGGGCAACTCGAAGGCGCCAATGGTTTGGTCGACGAAACGAAAACGAATAAAAACTTGTAATATTCTCCGCCTTATTTGCCAAACAATATAACTTCCTTCTTACAATACTGGCGTTTTGAAGTTAAAGTCGAAGAAAATACATAGTATTTATCGGTTCGGAGCGTCTTCATAACAATAGGAGCTTATTGATAAGTTGCTTGACAATTCCTCGATCTTTAGGGTTATAAGCACAGCACCATATTGCGTAGGCCTAACTTGTTTTCTGTATTTAGCGGTGAGATATGCAGTGAGGATAGCGCTATTTCATGATGGCTGGACGAAAATCTATTGGCAGCACGGGCGGGCACAGGTTATTACTGAACACACAGTCCAATATTTATGACCGCGAATTTCTCGCATCCTCAGAAATCAGAAGCTATAAGCATTTCGTTAAAGCGTTGGGGACTGGAGCTATTAAGAAACTCCATTTCTGCAGGATTAAATTACCCTGCAATTATTTTGTGATCAGGTCCAAGCAATAAGGCACTTGAAAACAGTCTAGCTAATAATCCAAAATTTTTGTAACTTGAATAACATTCAATTTAAACACGTCCTGCGAGAGCTTAAGTCAGAAATGTATCCAGTTACACTAGGCATGATATGAGCATTCAGAATTTCTTTTGTAAACTCGGTTAAGTCATATCCATTTACAAAAATATATTCAGAATCTCCTATAAGTTATTTAACAAGAAATTTACCAATCATATTATTCAGACCAAACAGATCATACAGTCTCCAGATGGAGTCACAAGATCTTCAATAACCTGTCGAGTCTTTTCCTAAAGAAAAGTGCGAAATGTGCCAAAATCTTCATAACTCACTCTAAATAATACTTCGAATTTCATTAATGAACGTTGTGTATTTCTTCCAGTCGCTATTAATCACCGTTATTTAAGGACCAGGTATGCATTTGTAATCAACAATGGGGCCTGATAAATGTTCATCTCTCTAGCTTCTCAAATTTTGTGACCTTCTCGGAATTGAGCTGCATCGGCTGCACCACAAGTTCCAGATTTCTTCCTGTTTGACCCTTGAATGCTTAATCAACGCAGCAGTTGTTTCATCCAGACTGCTGACTGTACACGAGTTAAACTCTTTATTTCGACTGGAAGCAGAGTCGGACTTAACTCAGTACTAGTTACTGATACCCTCAAAAATGTTGACAGTTATTAAGAGCACTTACAAGCATAATGGCGACAGTAGGTCTGAAAGTGTCGCTAGTAAATACTTGGCTTCTGTAGGCCCCCTGTAGCTCCTTGGGTCTCATTAATCACTCCCAACGGAGAACGAGAACAATGTTTTGTAGATAACTCTTATGCGTAAAATTATAAAACATTCCTTTTGGAAAACTGAGAGACGGGGTTTATAATCATTGAACCACATACAACTGAAGTTTACCATCTGTCTGTCTGTCTGTCTGGATTCAACATAGAACTTGGCACCGAAGTGCAGCAGTCCGAGTTGCCACCTTCCAAATAGCACACAGAGGTAGACAAGAAGATGAGTGAAGAGAATCAATACAGTCTGACAAGTATAAGAGTGAAACAGAATGGGTAATGGTAGAAAGGAATATGAAAGATTACAGAGACTGAATACATCTGCGCTGGCCATTGACAACGATTTTGAGCCATGTCACCTATTGTCTCCAGCCATTGATTCCTAGAGTCCCGAGGGCCCCAACCCGGGAGTCTGCATCTCCCTACCTGACTCAGTTTAACTGTCAAGGATTTCATGGATTGATGCCATGTTTTTGTTTGGCCACCACTTACTCTTTTCCAACCTGCACCTATATCAGCTAGTAATGCCCGTCGGGGGAGGCGGTGGTTAGGCATGCGCAGCACGTGACCTAGCCATCTTAGTCTATGTAACTTTATAGCCGTTAATGCATCAATCATGTGTTTAACCTTCGGTGGTTACTTGAAATGCATTGTATGTGTTCTTGGACAATGGTTTTTAGGTTCCTTAATAGGAGAACTGTTCTTTGGAATTGTCCGGTATAGAGTGCTGAAATTAAACAAAATCCTGAAAGGACTGTACAAAAACACCTCAAGTAACTGGGACATATTCGAAAAAAAACATTAAGGTTAGACGGGGATTGTCTAGTCTCAACGTTCCTCTTTAATTCTATATTTTATAATTTTATTTGATATAACACAATATTAATGAGTGAATGTTATCTAGAGAAAAACTTATTGTTCACCACAATATCTATGGCACTATGGTATAATTGTAGGCAATAAATTATGGTCGAAATGTCGCCCAGTCATCTGTCGAGTGAACTTATCTAGTGTAGAATTACAATGTATCACAGTGCTAAAATTTGTGTCTTGCATTAATTAATTGTCTGTAACTTCATGGCTGACTACATTCTGGAGACAACTACATAGGTGTCATAGTTCTCTGTATCTTCTACCTTGTGCATGCATACAGAAACACTTTAATTTATGACGGTATATTGACTGTCTAATCTGGATTTAATCAGTGTTTGTAAATATGATGTGGACTTCTCGCCTTTAAAGTGCAAAGCACTTTTATGCGATAGGTAGGCTCTTGCACATGCCGTCGAAGGTGAATCCTCGTTTATCAAATAGTGTTTGTTAGTACCAGTGAAAGTGAACTTGTGGCGGACAACTTTTTAAATCAGAAGTTGAACGTCAGAGCAACCTTCATAAAACTCTGCGTTCATCTTTTTTTATTTACAGCTTGATTCCACGCTGTATTTTTGGTACAAGTATGGAATTTTCAGCATGGATATCGGTAGGCCAAATTTCACAGGCCGACCATAGATATCAGGTGTGCAGCGGCGTGGGCTCGAACCCCGGACCATATGCATGGTCGGCGAGAGTCCTAACCACTGTGCTACCGACGCACAGTCATGCTCACATTGTTTTAGTGATTTAAACTTATGTTGAAATTTTGTCCCAGCACTTTCATACCATTTACTACATCTTGTTTACTATGATGTTTGGAAAACGTTTTTGGGGTTGTTGGTTCATGACCTAAAGGACTGCTCGTTTAGAATGTGTTAGGGCATAATCCTTATTCGGATACGGTTTGAGATATCCCAGACTATGAATCAAAATCATGGTGGATCATGTCGTTAGTCTCTTTGCTCTTCTGTATTTTCGTCATATTACTATTGTTTATTGTGTTTTTGCATGTTTTTCAAGGTTGTGCTTTAATTAAACGGTGAAATAGTGGACCCTTGTGCATCTTCTGTAGGAGCCTGATGTAAACGTGTCACCAGCTGGAATTATTCTTCCGGTCTGTGTGATAGGTAGTCGTTACTGCCACATCAGGATAGCATTTTATTTTCAATTCACGCCAAAGGGAAAACAGCCTAATGAGGAATTCAGCACTAATCGCTTTAAATATCAGTCCTATTAAGTGTAAAACAAATTTTGAAATGTTAGTGATAACAACAGGAGGTGATTGCTGTCACTTGATAGTCTAAAAGACGTTTACAATAGCGAGTGCCAAATTATTCATTAGGATTTTAACTCCACCCATAATAGATCGAAACGCACATTATCGGTTACAACTTTTAACTACAAATGATCAGATAAAATTGAATATGAATCATAAATTTTTTCTTAGGCCGATGAAAAAAATTTATCTTATCAATCTCCTTCCTCCCTTGCAGTTATTTTATGAAGTTTGTGCAGGTATTTTTATGGTAGGTATGTATTATTGTAAAATATGGTTTCTTGTATAGCTGTGTCCAGTCTGTCTTTAACAAAATGCCCTTTGTTATCTTTTTGCCTATCTTATCTAGATGTATTCGTCTAGCTAATACGAAAGCCAAATGTCTTGTACCGTTGTTAAACTGGGTTTTAGAAGGTTTATCTGTTCAACGAGAGGCGATTTTAGCTGTTTCTCATGCACGTTCCAGTGAGATCAAAGAAAGCAGTCAGTCCATGTTAAATGCTCCGTTGGTGTTGTCAACTTCATCATTTTTGTTGGAGGGAAACAATCAAGCCAATGATGAATCGGCTATAGGCAGAGAAGAAGGAGAAATTTTGCCAAGAGACAACGACTTTAATTTAGACTCAGATGATGATATGGATGTAGTTAGTTCTGAAGAGGATAAATCATCTGCTACAGCTGTACACAATAAGCATCAGTCTCCCACAAAATTTTTACCTTATGGTGTGATTGAAGTTTCCAGCAGTAGTAATCGAAATGTAGACACAGATATTGCTGACTCATCTGCAAATGAACTATACGAATTTGATCCTGTGCATATGTTTAGTGCAGGTTCTCTTATCCCAGAGGCTGTAAATGAATCTAATACTGATATTTCCACTGGAATTGACGGTATAATTAGATCTGCAAATGAGGAGGATGAAGAAGATGAAGTCATTGTCTTAAACCTTGTATAATGTTTAGGTTTTTCTCAATTGTCTTTTGTACAGTCACGTTTATTTTTGTGAATAAAGTGGTCTTCCGAATAATCTTATAAATATTGCTCGACTGAAAAAGATTAATTATTCTGATCAGAGACCTAGATAATGTCCCATATTTTACATTTCTGTGCTGCTCGAAACTTTGTGAAGTTTGGGGAATAAAATTAGGAGTTAATATTGATGATATTTTTAGTAGAGTAAAGTGATAACAAAGTTCATGGAAATAATACTGAGGCGACATTTCAACAATATTAGTTTCAGTAAATTTCATAATTGTAGACGTAGCTTCACAAATTGGGGTGTCTGTGGGGTGGGATGTGGTTATTTTAAGGACTGACGTTGCCTAATCCTCTCTTTAAGCACTATTAGTTATTCTTACTGTTCTCACTGTAGCCATCCTTTATACAATATGATTCGAATTATGGGCTTTGACTGTCTATTTTAGCAACATTAGGAAGTACGAGTCGTCGAAATTTCATCAGAGGCCTTTTTGTCATCTGTTTTGTTAAGCTGATATGATAATAGCCGTTATAGTAGGTTAGCTATTGTTGTTTGCACATTTACTCTAATGGGTAACCTCGATGAACTCACATTCTGTCGTCACAATCAGGTAATTTCACAACCCTCCTATCAGAAATGTGCTTACTTACTTAGTTGAATTCACGTCTTTAGCTTTCTAAATGGTACTTTTGTTGGCAATACTTACGAAGACATAAAGTTTGGCTACTCTGTTCTACATAGTATTCATCATAGTTACCATAGTGTGGCCTTCGATTTCTAACCCGTTTACTATCTCTGTGCTATTCAGTCGTCGAGTTCTAAGAGGTTCTCACGCGAATACAGGAAAATCAAAGACCACCTCGTTCACGATAATACTTGTATTTTCCAAACAAGGGAGAAAATGACTGTCACACTAGTGTGACAGTGGAATGGTAGGTAGTGTACGAATTGTGTGAACAAGTGTCTCTAAAAGTGTACAATGCAAACGTATATATGAAAATGACTAATACACATGAAACAGTCAGACAGATAAGTAGTTTTACTTACCATCATTGGATTCTGATCGGTTGTAATGTCATGTGATAAAAAGGTTATATATTGTTTATTTAGTTATTGAACAGACAAGCATATTGTGGATTATAACGAAGTATCGATCAATGTACACATGGCAAAATATATCAGACCGTCAAAACCACAACAGACATCATGTGACTACATATCACTTCTTTTTTTTGAGGAAATCGATGATTCGTAACCTTCTTTCTCGGGGTTTATCTGGAACCGTTCAGTTTGATATCGACATCTGTTGCTTCGTCTGCTTGTTGAGTTTGCGGCTTCTGCTTTGTCTGGAGTTTTCTGAGCTGCGTAATTTTGCCTTTCCGTTTTGTCGGTCGTAGGTAAGTTTAAAGTATCTAAGAGTATATCCAGAGGTAGAGATGACTGTGCACTGGTAGGGATATTTGAGTTTCTTTGACGCAACTGGCTGTAGTGATGGGTCTATAAATCATTACCAACTTTCACGTCGTACATAACTCGACTACGTCGTGCTGCTATGGAGCCTTTATTCCAAGTTTTATGTCCTGCTCGATGGTCGCGGACATAGATATCGTCACCAACATCGAATTTTATCATTCTGAACTGATGCCTCGGCACGTTTGGGTGCCGGTGGTAACATTGAATTGTGAATCGTTCTAGATTTGCATCCGTAAATAATTTCTGCCGGCGATTTCTTGTTTTGTGTTGACCCATTCGCCTTTGTACAGTACACCATCAAGAATTTTTGAATGATGTCAAATGGTGTCCAATCTCCCTCTGTTTTGAGTAAACCTCTCTTCAAAGTGTCGAAAAAACGTTCAGCTTGGCCGTTTGATTGAGTATGATACGGCGGTGTGAACATATGCTCGATAGCATTTTGACGACAGAAGTGCTGAAACTGATGAGAAGTAAACTGCGAACCATTGTCTGTAACTATGGTTTCTGAGAGACCATGATGGGAGAATATGTCAGTGAGAGCTTTGAGAGTATAGGATGTTGTCGTCGAAACCATTGGTATAACTTCTGGTCACTGCGGAAAAGCGTCTACCACCACTAAATAATATGCACCGTTTGTGGGGCCAGCAAAATCAATATGAATTCTGGACCAAGAATGGGCTGCAGGTGACAAGGTACGCGAGTTAGCTGGTGGGGTAGTTTTGCTGATTGTTGACATTTTGAACATCATTGAACAAAACCGATAATATGCTTATCTTTGTAGATTGCATTGGATACAGAACTAAGTAGGACATCCGCCAGATGCAAACAGCCGAACCAGCTAAGTCCCAAAAGTTTTAAATCACTCTGGGTGACGTAGGAAACTCCTGTGAATCTGATGTTGTGGAAGGAAACAAAACATTGGAGTGTGCGTCGGTGGCACGGTGGTTAGGACTCTCACCGACCATGCACATGGTCCGAGGTTCGATCCCCTGCCAACGCACACATGATATCCATGGTCGGCCTGCAAAATTTGGGCTACCGATATCCACGCTGAAAATTCCATACTTGTACCAAAAATACAGTGTGGAATCAAGCTGTAATAAAAAATTAGTTTCAGGCCCACCACAGGCGCTGACAGCAGTCTGCGAAGTGTTTGTGATAGGTGGTCTGCCAATATTATTCCAGATTTTCTCTGATATAACAGTAATATCAGAGGCGGTATTTAGCTGCAGACGTGTATCATGACCATTCATCTGAAGGTCAAGATATTTCCGCATATCCGGTGTCAGTCACGTCTCATAAACCGTTAATGCCCAGCTCTTGCTACGCTCGGGCCCACGCTGTTCCTTGCAGTTTTTCAGAAACGCTTAGTAATAACGGACGAAAAACCAAAAGACCGATTGGCTACTCGAGGATTCTTTATTGTTACACCAACATATAAAAATAATGTTTTTACTAGGGTCTGTGAACAAATATTACAATAATAAATCACAAGATTACTTCTGGTGGTTTTCTGCTGACTTCTTTCTGAACAGCGAACGATGAGACGATGACTGTCGTATTGATGCCTCCGCGAAAATTGGGGAAGTTGGTTTGAGGAAACAACAATGAATTGATCGTTCAATCTTCAACTGCATTGACATCCGGTGTTGCGACTTGACAGGTTGCGACCAGACTCATTGACTTTTTTGGGGATTTAGGATCAACAGTTTGGCGAGCTTTCGCTGGATTATGATATCTGGGTTTGCGTGGCTGGCGAAATCCATTTTTATGGCCGATGATTTTGCACTTGCTGCAACGATGATTTTTGTACGGACAAGACTTTACAAAGTGCCACGCGCCACAATGCCAGCATGGTGATGGTGGGGTCTTCTTTGCAGTAATTTGAGAAGTTGGACGAGTATGTGTAGATTTACGCGGAACATTAGGAGAAGGTGGGTCAGGACTGGATGATGAGATTTTCGCTCTTTCGTAATGCATGAATATCAGAGCTTCTCGAAGGTGTTGATTCGACCAGGTGTGTGTCCTTCTGTAAATTAATCAGCCGTTGATATTCATCAGCTATGTCATGTAATGTTAACTTAGGATTTTGTTCTAGCTGATTGAGCAGTCGAGTTCGGATATCTGTGAAACGAGGAGATTGAAAACTGCATATGAGAATCAAGGCTTTGAATTGATCATCTGTTAAGGACCTGAGTCGAAATCTCTCACATTCTCGGTTGACTGTGCCAACGTGAGTAAGAAAATCATCATTTTCATTCATTGTCAGCTTGAGGCAACGATAACGTATGCTGAATAATGAGGAGTGGTCTCCAAAATGTTCACGCAGCAGCTTTATTGTATCATCGAAACACATGTCACGTGGTTTCTGGGGTAAAATTAGGTTGCAGTACCTTTCATATTCTGCGGGACCCAATTTACGTAATAACACTCGCGCCTTCCAAGCATCGTCTTGTGAGGCGAGATCAACTCTGAATAAATCCTCATATCGTTGATACCATGTGTCAAAAGTGATATTCGCATCTGGATCATAATTGAACTGTGAAATACTATACACAATTCCGTCGACAGATGGTAGCATGGTATGATTCGGATTGCTTGAAGGTGAAACTGAACCAGTCTGTTGATTGATGAGCATTTCCACTAATTTCATTTGTTGTTCAAATAGTAATTCCAATTAGGAAGAATCCAGAGATTTCGCCGTCGCCAATATTCTGTTTTATACCGCTGAGTGGTTAATAGTCCTGACGCGAATAGAGGAAAATCAAAGACCACCTCGTTCACGATAATACTTGTATTTTCCAAACAAGGGAGAAAATGACTGTCACACTAGTGTGACAGTGGAATGGTAGGTAGTGTACGAATTGTGTGAACAAGTGTCTCTAAAAGTGTACAATGCAAACGTATATATGAAAATGACTAATACACATGAAACAGTCAGACAGATAAGTAGTTTTACTTACCATCATTGGATTCTGATCGGTTGTAATGTCATGTGATAAAAAGGTTATATATTGTTTATTTAGTTATTGAACAGACAAGCATATTGTGGATTATAACGAAGTATCGATCAATGTACACATGGCAAAATATATCAGACCGTCAAAACCAAAACAGACATCGTTATATTACACATCACTTTGTTATTGTTAGTCATCCTTATTGATATTTTGGGCAAAAAGTAGGCTTATACAAAGCTTGTGATGTAATTTTCATGCAGTAAGTGCGTGAAAAATTTCATCATAAAGAAAAAGGAAGACGTAATAGCGCAGAAAATCTTCTTTTGGATCATTTTCACAGGTGAAGAGAAAACGGAAGTTAGTATTTCATAAAAGGCGTGAAGAACGACTTAAGCATTCTGAATGCATGAAAAGCTAGTGGAAGTACAGTAAGAGAGAAATGCAGTGATAATAAACTCGAATTCTTCAGCTTAAAGAAAAGACCGGACTTTGTTTTCTCGTCAGAAGAATATTGCTGTGAACCTTGAATAAACTGCCCAATCT